TGGGCTTTTCTAAAATCCAAAACAAGTACTGTCTTATTTCAAAGGGAAAAATTGGGCATACCTAAGCAAAACCAAAGTCCAGCAAAGTAGCTCAAGGCTGGACAGCTGGGATTCACTCACAATCTTCTGGACTCCAAAGGGTTCTGACTCCACTTCTCTGACTCTGCCATCCACAGCACACACAGCTCATCTAGCAGAGCCAGGCTAACTCCATTCCACAACTACTGCTGTTCTTGGTGGTCATCCCATGGTCCCGGCATCTACAAAATGCTGGGGTCTCCACTGAAACTGAGGTTATACCTTCACCAATGACCTCTTCTTCCCTTTTGGGGTACAAAGCCTCAGATTCTCTCCATGATGCCTTCAATTCTGGGGTCTTCACTACAACTGAAGCTACACTTTCACCTATAGCCTTTCCTGGCCTCTCAGAATTCCAAGCCTGAGTGCTCTCTGTGACCCCTTCACGCTTTCAACACCTGAACCATGCAGGAGGCTTACATATTACCAAGTCCTGTGCATAATTGTTTTTCAACCTAAAGCACATTTTATTACCTAATTATGTAGAATTCTCAATGGCAATTATATATCATATTTTAAGCACTGATTAGGAGAAAAGTAATACATCTATCAAATAATTGTGTGGTTTTTGTTTGCTTGCTTGCTTGCTTGGTTTGGTTTTGTTTAGGCAAGATATGGCTATGTAACCCAGGCTGGCCCGGAATTCTTGATCCTCATTGCTTGGCCTCCTTAGTGTTGGGATTACAGATGCACAATACCCTAGCAGGTTTCAAATAAGATTTTCAGGATGATTTGCAATGACATTTTCAAGGTTCTATGCTAAAAAACATTTTTAATCTAGATTATGACGTGTTTATATATAAAGAGGTGAGACCATGAACAACTTCTTTGCAAATTTTTCTCAAACACATATTTCAAAATTTTAATCTGGTTTTCTTGATCAAAGATGAAATAAAAATATTGAATGGCAGTTTGTATGTGAAAATAGTTTCCATTAATATGACCTAAGGGTCAAAAGTAGAACGGGCATATTACAGAGTGTCTGTCACATATGGCCTATGTCATCACAACCTGATCGTGAGTTATTTCGTCAGAAGGCCTCCACATGCTTAGTTGTGAGAATTTTTTTTTTTTTTTGATGACAATGCAGGTTTTTTTACAAGAAAAATGCACAAGTATTGCTATGGCTGCCAAAAACACTTACTTTTCATTTATATAACAGAAAGTGAGATGGATTTTTTTCTTTCTGCGTGTGTGTGTGTGTGTGTGTGTGATTGTTTTTGTTTCTGTTTCGTTTTTTGATGTTGTCAGCCAAGCATTTAGCTAATATCCTTCCCCATTGGAGCCAGAAGAAGGGCGCCACCTGGTGGACATACTAGCAAATTCGAAACAATGCCTTACTAGGATGAATTCTGTTAGCAAACCTTGAGAAATCACTGACCACCAGAGGATAGTGATAGAACCGTGTTTAGTTTCTCCTGTACTTATGATTATCTGCCTTGATCATTTTATATTATTTATATGAATGAAGGAGCTACCAAACTAACTTTAAAGTTTCAAGAGTTATTTAAAGTCTACATTCATTACACATTTAAGCTAATCTCCGCACACATATACAAAGCAAAGTTGTCAATTATTTTTTCATTCTTCTCATAAGAATATGCTGATTTGTGATGGTGTATAAGGGAGGAGGTAGGGGTTCCAAATTTGATGAGCTAATTTATCTTGACTATTTCTGGAGCAAGCCTGTCAAGTCATTTAATTTTTTAAAATCCTTTGCATTCTCACCCATGAAGTGAGAATCGGGAGAGACTAGCTCTCAGATCTTTGCCTTGAGAGCTAAATAGAAAAGTACACATGCTAACTGTTACCTGGTCAACCCAAGAAAAGTTGGAAATATTATGAAATATTATGAAAGACCTTGTTTTCAAGTAATAATAAACTGTAGCCACTAAATATCTTAGATCCATCAATGAAACATAAGGTACTTAGCATATGAAGTAGAAGTGATTGTATCTGTCCATGGATAACCACTTATTTCGGAATGTTTTATGAATGGGGGGCTGTTGTAAAAGCAAAAAAGTTACTGTAAACATTTTAATCAATCTTTGAAGAAAATGAATCAATGAATACTTTCAAGCGATTATTAAGATGATAAATATATTCTCAATAATTCAAAATATGAGAAAAGTATACAGTTTCTACAGCATTATTGGGAGGGGCACCTGTGACAGAGGACTGCAAGTGACAAGGGAGTCAAGTTCTCTCCAGTCTGTAATAGCAACCACCTTGCATGAATTCTAACCATTGCCATTCCCCGTAAAGATTGTTCTTCCACTAACCTCAATGCAAATAGGTGTTTGATGGCCTTATGCAAGGCATCTTTGAGGTTCATAAAAATATCATAGAAAGTGAAAGATCTTTTGGGCAACATTCAAAAGTCTAAATCATCCCCAAATCAATACATAGTGAAAGATTGGCTAGAACATGCCTCTTGTTTCACCACTGTATAGAATTTCACACCGGCATAACTTAAATAATTTATGAATTTTTATAAAGTTAAAGTGCCATAGAAGTTAGCACAATTAGTCTAGTATTATATTTAGTATTGTGTGAAAGTTGTATGATAATTGCAAAGTTAAGGCAATTAACTTTCTCTGTAAATTCTCTGTAAATTCTGAGCGGGCTTCAGATTTTAGCTTAAGAACTCACAGCAGTTATCCACATTACATGTCCATTGCTTCTTATATTTATCTCTGGAGAAGGAGTAGGCTAGATATATGAATTTCCTAGGAGTTTCTTGGAAACCTTTCCTGGGGAGACTGTCATAGCTACTTTAGTCTGTCTTTCCATTTACAAAATCAACTTCTTTTAATACATGTATAGAATACATTCCAGTAACATTTAGAGATCCCTGACAAGCTCAGAATATCTTTAAAATGCCCAATTAGAGCCAGAGTTCTATAGATGACCACGTTGAATATGTAAAGTAGACCATAAAAATATTCATACTAAGAAATTTATGGATTCAAGCTTGAACCTCTCTCATCATGTGAATTTTGGTGTCAGATGTGCCCTGACAAAAGGATCTGCCATGCATATACAATGTGCCCAAGTTTCATATCTACATTTTCAGTTCTTGTCTATGTGCTTTGCTTCCTGCTCCCCACCTCCACCCTCACAGAGCTGTCTGCAGCACCTCAAGTGACCAGCTGGTGTCACAGGTTAGTGAGTAAAGATTTCACGTGGGTACTCTCTCTTGACTAATCATTCTTATCTCTTATCAGTCGCATCTTTCCTAGAGCAGTGGAGAGTCTCTGCAGCTTGTTAATGAAATTTAAGGACTGTCAGACTGAAAGAGGACTGTCCATCCATGCTCCTCTTATGAGACATATTTTTTTACATCTGCTAACCAGTCTTTACATGTTAATGCATGCCGGTAGGAAGACGACAGGGAAGAGAGAGAACAGGAAGGGGCCTTATGAAATAATATTTTAATCTTTGCATTTTTATCTAAGGGCATGGAGCAAAGAGGATGATTGAATACAACAAATGTTTTGTATAAACTGCAGTGTTCACCTCTGTAAGCCGAGAGAAAGCTGTAAACCACTGAAAAATCTCTACAACCTGTGTGAAACACATTTGAGGGAAATGGGAAGGGGGTGGGGGCGGGTGGAGAAAAGAGCCTACAAGCCGGGAGAACTGACCAAGACTGGAATGTTAATAACAGCACTCCTGGCACCGGTCCTCTGTCTCACCACCGCTCCTGGGTAGTTTGGACAGCTCCTCAAACGCAGATTCAGTACTTAGAATAAGTGAAGAGCTGAGTTGCTCCAGGAGTCCAGCTGCCTTGTATCCCCAGTACCTCGGCAGCTTCTAAGGATGAGCTGGGAGTGTCTGTGATGGGGACGCCTCCAGCAGCCTTCAAATTACCGTGCACTCCCCAGGGAAAGACCTCCAGAGCTCCATCTCCTGCATCCCAGAGTCTGGGTCCTCTAGTTCCATAGAGATGCCCTGACCAAGAGCGGCTCCCTCTACCCGCCCAGTTCTAATTGATGTAAACGTGACCACCTCTCAAGCCAGCTCCTCACATCCTCCCTCCACGCCCACTAAGCAACGCTGCGCTCCTGGACCCTACAACTTTAGGAGAAAGGGTCACGAAACTCTCAAATCACCCCTAAACCAGGGACAGAGAAGAGATAAGCAACCCCCGCAAAAAATTAGGCTACAGATCCCTAAAGACCCAAAGAAACTAAAAGAAGGTGGCGGGTACGCTAGGTCGCAAAAGGAACAGAAATAACTACTCAGCCAATACAGGGCACTTTAGCTCTACAGACAAGACACATCTGGACCCAACAAATGGGCAAAGCCCGCACCTTTCCGGCTCCTTTGAGCGACGAATGCTTTTCTGCTCCCCCAAGCTCCACTCAGCAGACCAGAGAAGCGCATTCTGTTCACTTCTCCTACCTCGTCTCCCCACCTCGGTCTCCTCAAAAGAAAAAAGAAATGAAACTCTGATGGCCTAAAGGTCGTTCGCCTACTTGGGTATCTCTGACCAGCGCGCTTTGGGGCCACAGCAAAACGGGGTTGGACCCCAGCAAGGCACAGTCTCCGAGAGAGCGCTGTAGATTCATCCAGAATGCGTTCAACGGAAGTCAAGCAGCCCCAGGACTGGGACTGGATCACCTCTCCCTACCAAGGTGGCCTGTCGTCTGGAGTCCCTTGGGCATCACCAAGCCTTTCCCTCTTGTCCCCTTCCCCTCCGCTTTCCAAACGTTGCACATCCTGTCATCGGGCCCCAAATCACACCAGGATGCTTTAAGTTCTTGCTGGGTCTGTGGATTAGCACAGGGGAGCCTTCAAGTGGGGCGGAGGGAGGATGGGGAGAGGGAGATGTGGGAGCCAAGCCCGAGGGTTAAGGGGTGGGTTGCAGACTGGAGCTACCGCCTGGGAGGTACCGGTCCCCACAGGCCAACTCTCACCTGATCTGCTGGCTGCGCCTGGCTCGCCCTGGCCCCCGGGGTGGGTTGTTGCTCCTGCTTCATGGCTGTCATCCCCCGGCCGCGGGTGTCGGAGCTCTCACTTCCTCGCGGGCACTTCACACTCGGGTACCGTCACTTGGCAAGCGATCGCATGTCACAGACGCCTCTTTGCTCTCGGAATTGGCAGAATGGGAAAGCCGCGGCAGCTATAGGGTGGGGGGGGGGGGGGGAGGGGGAATGCCAGGGAGGGGACGGAGAGAGGAGGCAGAGGAGGACAGGCTACCCCCTTTTTACAGGATCCCTTCTTTCTTCTACCGCAGATCCTCGGACTCCCTACTGTTCCCGCCCCCCACCACCACCCGAAAACCCAGACAGCAGACGCGTCCAAGTGGCAAGTTAGTGAAGCCGCAGGCGGCTGGCTGCTAGCACCTGATCGCGCTGGAGCGGTGGCTTGCAACGCCAGAGGAGCCAGGCTCGCATTCTACCGCAGTCCGCCACCCTCACTCGCGCTCGGCCGCGGGCCCTCGGGGGGCTCCCCGTGCGGCTCAGCGCACCAGGTGCAGAAGCAGCCGGAACAGCAGCCAGGCTCAGCGCTCCAGCATCTCCCGAGCAACCGCAACGCGCGGGAGACAGCCCCGCCAAGCTCCCCACTAGCGCTGCCCAGGCTGTCGGGCTCTGCGGGGTCCCCCAGCCCCTCCGCCCCCCGCGGGCTCCTGATAAAACCCGGAGAAGCGGAGTGTGAGCGGGTGCAAAAATAAAACCCTCGGTGGCTCTAGAGCGGCCACTAGGCATGCTCCAGCGCTAGGAGAAAGAGGCCGGCAGCGGGGGGACGCCGGCCTGGAACCTCAGGGGCTTGCGCAACACCTGTGCGCAGGAAAGGTTGCCCACACTGTGACCCCAGGCTGTGCACCTCCTGATATCGGGCAACAAGAAGGCTTTAACCTCCAGCCTGGATTCCCAGGATGGTTGCCTTCGAAACAGTAATAGAATCACTAAAGATTTGTTTAAAACTGGTTGAAACCACAAAGATGCTACAGGATACACTTCTTTACACATCTTCTGGATACATTAAAAAAATAAAATAAAAACTTCTGAATATAAGTTCTTCCTCTCAACGCAATCCATTTCCATTTCCAAGTATGCTTCCTGACACCTGCCTTAGGTCAAACACATCACAAATGGGGCTACAAGGGAGAGATTAAAAACTACATCTATCCATTCGGCCGGCACAGAAGCTTAAGCTATGGTGTGGAGACATGAATTGGAACAGTGTTACAAACAGTAAATTAACCTACTTTGGAAGTGGAGCACTTTGGGATATAATTAATAAAGGTCCCTACCTTGGAGAATATGGGCTAGCGGGTGGCTTTGCCCCAAGTGCTCAAAGGAATACACTTTGGCAAAAGGAATGCCAGCAGTCTCCTAGGTCCTCTTCTCAGACAGGTTCTGGGGACCGCTCACCAGTGGAAAGGCAAGAGGGATGCAAACACTGAGACACTGGTGAATTCTGGAGTTAGTTCTTTCTTTCCACTATGTGGGTTCTGGGGATGAAAGTCGGTTGTCAGGTTTGCTGAGCCATCTTGCCAGTCTGCATTCAGTAGGAGTAGTAAGCCAATTCCAGCAGAAGAGCACAATCAAAGCGAGGGTGGTGTAGGGCCCTGTGCGTGGGTGTGTCTAAGCATGGCCTACTTTCTTTCCCCTTACTCAGTCCACCAAATCGCTATTTGTCAGCTGAGTGGCTACTTCAGGACAGAGGAATTGAGCTCCTGTCCTGTTAATACCGATATCATAAGAAAAATATGACTATCACCCCCAAACATTCACTGTAACAACAGCCCTTTCAATTTATCCACGTGAAAGATTTGAGTCAGAGATACAGGCAGAAAGCTAGAATCCAATTTGAAAGAAAGCTTGCTTTTCAAATATGTGTGATCCAGGGCTTATTGTGACCGTTCTATTTGTTCCATTTCAGTTTTGGTAGGAATAATTTTACTTGTAAAACTGTAAAACAGGTATAAAAACGGAAATACAAGTAAAGTAGCTATCCTCTAAATCTGGCAACACAGATTTGTCCTCCTATATCATTTGAGTGGCTGAGGGAGAACATGCATCATTCAGGACACATTTTCCTGCCTTTCATTTTGCCCTTTCATTCACTATTGGGGTGTATACATCTTCCTCAGTGTTTTCATCGTGGACAATCTATTCAACTTGAAGGAAGTTACTTTAGGGCAGAGATTTCTTTCTTACAGGACAAGCACACTGCAGGAATGTCAGTGTTCTATTTAGGATTATTTACTCGATTGAATTCAGTTGTTAAATCCATTTTTGGTATTCAGTATGAAATTTATTTTAGTTACAAATCAAGACATAAATTTGTGCAGGCTTCACTCATGAGGCTGGGAGAGAATCTTATTTTAAAGAAAAGTTTCTTTGTTTATTAGCATGAATTGTTATAGCTTAAGCTTTTGAAGTTTAGGTGAAGGGCATTAATAGAAACTTAATCACATGCAAATTGATTTTTTCAATTAAAATATTTTCTTATTTTTTAAAAAAAACAAATCACTTCTTTCACAACATTAGCTTTTCTACATTTGAATTAACTCCTTATTGAAAGGAAAAAGATGCACTGTTCAAGAAAAATAAAGGATTATCCCATTTCCTAAGAGAAAATGGCAGTTCTGTTTAGGATTGTCTCTGATTACAGCATCATCAAAGACAAAACCAAACACCAATTCATAATCACATATGCACAAAATCAGAAGATGATTCATGTAGACGCAGCCCTAACACAGCACTGACAAGGAACACTTGTACCCAGTTAGGCTTCAGCAGGTGATCGCTCCTGCTCCATCTAGGGAAGTGTCAGGGAGAATGCACTGTCTCTGGCCTCTACTTTCTTACTTAGTAACATTAAAATGGACCACCATTTAAACCATACCTGCTTCAAAAACTCTATAAATACATATACTGATTTTTGTAAGGCAGATGACTATGTTATGGATGTTTAAAACATGGTTGCATGGAGAATACAATAAATGCTTAGAAAATAAGTTTTAAGAGTACATTAGGTCATAAAAGATCCTTTCTATCTACTAAATTTTCCTAATAGTCTCTTATTACACTTAGGTGCATGATAATAGCTCTGTCTTATTAATTTTATTAAGATATAGAAAAGTAAACTAAAATTAAAACTTAGTTTTCAAAGGAGAACTGCAAATTAAATGTTAGACATAAAATTTTATAGAAGGGTTAGGTGCAATGGCTCTCTTAGGAAAGTGTTTGCCACATAAGCATTAGAACTTGATTTTGGATTTCCAGCAATCTCATAAAAAGTCAGTTGTAGTCATGGGTACCCATAATCCCAGTTCTGGGAAAGCAGAGACCAGAGGATTCCCTGGGGTTTGCTGACCAGCTAGTCTTACTAAATCTGTAAGTTCTGGGTTCAGTGAGAGCTACAGTGTCAAAAAAATAAGCTGGAGGGACTGGGAAGGTGGCTCACCAGTTAAAAGCACTTACTACTCCTGCAGAGACCTGAGTTTATTTCCCAGCACCCACATTGGGCTGCTCACAATTACCCTCTTCTGGCTTCTGTGGCACGTGCAAGCATATAATGCACACTAATTCACTCAGGCACACACACGATAAATAATCAATCAATTAATTAATAAACAAATAAGGCAGAGAGTGATAGAGAAAGACACCTTGAGTCAACCTTGCACCTCCACACACTTAGGCACATGTGTGAATGAACACCTGTCACACATATTCACACAAACAGAAACACAGATATACTACATACACATGTAGTATAAAAAATTTAAAATATTAAAAAGAAAGATTAGTTTTAGAGACATAGAGAATGCCTCTGATTGCTGTTTCTTACTTCGTTTCTCTAAGGAGCTAACTCATGGACACGTATACAGTTTGTAACATGGGTGAAATGGAATGAAGGGTATTTACAGTTTTCCTGGAATGGAACCAGGTTCTCTGAACTTCAAAGCACCTGAAAAGGTCACCCAGTAAGATGCCCCTGTTGAATTTGCACATGTGTTTCAGTAGGCAAAATCTCATTCAAATTCTTTTTATAGAATTCTACCCCCTGCTCTGCATTTCAAAAACTGAATTACTCCAAATTCCAGTTTTGAGTTTCTATGAAAGTGTAGTGTTACATGTCTCCTTTGTGTACTTACTGGGGTGTCCAAAGACACTCGAAAGCCTTCCCATATACAGAAATTGAACCTCTCTGATGTCTTTTTGTAGGTGACATCCAGTGCCTTAGAGGTGACATTTCACTGCAGTACATTTTTGCCCGTAGAATGTGGAGCTGAATCATTGAGGACAGATTATGGAGGTTGGAAAATGAATGAATTGGTTCAAGACATCATTAAAATATTTCAGCATCAGTGGCAAAGATAGATTGTTCCAGAAATCGACAAGTTCTATCTGTTCTAATCTTCCATTTCAAATTGTAGTCACAGGGACAAAGAAGCAAAATTTACTCTCTACCAGCAACTGAGTAATAAATAAGCCTCAGTTAAACTCCGATATGTCAGAAAAAGACAAAAATACCTTGAGATTTTGCAGAGCAGAGTAGAGACAAACTCTTCAATTTCAGATAAACTAGATAAAACAAATGTGACCCTGAAACTGTGCTTGCAGACTCTATTGCTACTTTTGCCTCCTTTCCTGAAGTAAATCTGCACTGTCACACAAAAGGCACCTTCTGAGGGGTTTCCCCAGGAGTAGCCTGGTGACTGTTGAGTGCCCATAATAACTAGAGCATCAGGAAGACAGGGTTCATGAGCTAAGCCACTAGAGACTTGGCTTGAAAAGGGCCAATTAGCTTTCTACAGATGAAGAAACAACTCTAATTCATACAACTTGCCATCATTTCGGGTTTCGATTTATAAATCACTTCTCTTCACCTCCATCAGCTTCCTTAAATTCTTCCACAGTGCCAGAGTGCACATCATGTCCTTGGGCAGAAAACCAGTATGGTGAGCAATATTCAGAAATGAGCTATATATTTCAGAAGCTCTAGCCAGTAAAGTCTAACAGATGTTTGTTTTAAAAGGAAAAAAAAAAGATAACAGGAAGAAGGTTCTGCCTCCTTAAGTGATATCCATGTTGGTGACTCAGCCTGTTCTGAGCTTCTTTTACTGTTAACTAAACTTTCTGTCACTCTCTATCTGCGACAG